TAGTCTGGTTCGTGTAGACAGAACTTCTCTCTATAGCCTACCATGTGTGCAAATCTCTATCCTGTATGTAACTTTAATTCCATCCTTAATTAACTTCAGGACCTCTTCTGTGAAATGAATTAAAAGGAGCTGTCTCACAAGTACCTTTAATGAGAATAGAGCCTTTAACATTATAAAAGTTTTTTTAATCTTAATATTTCAAATAATTTGGAACAAAAGCATCCACAAAAAGGAGACAGACATTTAGTTATTGTCTTGCTCTTCTTTCATACTTAATAGCATCTAATTGTGCTAGGCAACTATCAGGGTCTTGCTTGTCAACTGCGGATAGAACTGGAGACATTATAAACTGCTTCTGAAATTAACATTTAGATTCAATTATTTGAGATCCATTTTTCTACAGTGAAAGGAACTTGTCACACTAAAACAGGATGTGTCATAATCTTCAATTCTTGTTTGTAGCATGCAGATTTACACTAAATATAATTTAACCTTTTCTCTTTTAAGAACATTTTCCTCTTATCAAAATATATGTAGCAAAATGACAGAGAAAAATTGAGATTAATCCATGCTTAGTTGGGAAAAAAAAAGCTTTTTGAAGCTTTTTTATTGATGACAACACCTGCTTTTAGGTTTTTAAAGTTTGGAATTAAGGACATTTTTACTAAAAAAATACTATCAAATTCTAAGAAAGGCTATGGGATTGTAACTGTGATCTCTTGAAATGATTTTATGTATGTTCCTAAGTTCATTTCTTTTCAGTGGTAGAGGCAATGGTGTTGAAATTTATACCAAGACACTTTGGCCCTCATTATGAATAATTTTTTTTCTGATTTTTTTAGTAGCAAGAGTGGTGCAAGGAACAGATTTGTGAAAACATTTAAAAGCTTTGCAGTAATATTTTATGGACAATTTTGGTATCTTTATTGTCTATTAAAAGAGCTTAAGCCAGGGAGGAGAAATTCATGGTTATTGCTTTTTGCTCCCCAAAAGCCAGGAAAATGCACATTTTGCTTGAACTGCACTAATGTAGGTCCTCACAGAACAGCTTCATTAAATGATCTTAATAAGACAGAGTGGCTGTCTATGCCATTGGAAGGCAAAGTAATGGCCTGTTCCTGAATAAATCACATTATGATATGAGTAATGTACAGACATCATAATTTGGTAGCCAAGGTTGCTGGTGATGAATGTTTTCTGATGTCACTACATGGGTAGAAAAGCATTGATTGACTGATAGTCTCAGACATTCAGACATATTATTTATGTATCACAGTGTGGAATAAATAAGGATTGTGTTCTTGTGTTGCACCTCCCTGTTTTTGGACAATTATCTCCAATGATGTTAAGTTGAAGCTAGAAAAAAAAATATGTGTAGTTTAGTGAAAGTCATATCAGAATGAAACATAAGATTTAGACATCATTTGCATATGCTTATATAGTTATTAAGAATATTAATTAGGAAATTATGGTTTATAACAGGCTTCTCAGTCTGGAATTAAGTCATAGCTCTATTAGAAACTGAAAAGTATCAACAAGGTCCTTGAAGAAGAAATTTAAAGATGAAGTCCTTATAAAATTGAATACATATACTATACATATGTATATACATATGTCTATATATGCTCATTTTATTTCTTTCTCATACATTTTTTTTCCAAAATAATATTTCTTGGTCATCAGTATTGACATATTTGTTGAATTGACAGTGGACCAGATTTTTCATTTCTTTTCTCAAAGGCCACTGATGAATAATGTAATGTGTTCAATATCTAATTGCTAGTGAGGTGATTGATTTGAACCACAAAAATGAGATTAAAAACCCATTCAATTATGTGTACTTTTTAAATTAATGGCCTGTTTGTAGAGAAAATCATGTAGAATTTTAGAAGCATACAAAAGTAATATCAGTGTTCATTATCAAGTTACCTATGGTTAATAGACTATTATCTACTAACCATAGGTAAATAGGGAAAACTTGGTAAATCAGTAATCCTAATTGGGTTTTTTTTTTTTTTTTTTTTTTTGCTATTTATAAAGAATACACTTTTCAACATCCATTGCTTTTCCTAAAAATTTAAATGGGTCTCATATCCACAGGAGTCTCCTATGACTATTTCATAATTTGATGAATTGTTGAGAACTCTATAAATGCAGCAGTAATTTGTCTCTGCATTGTGGACTTGATTTAGCTTTATTCTGTTTCTCACAGGCATTCTGAAATATTTATGATGGGACACATTGGTAATCTGATGTGGGAGCCCTGTGAGAAACAAAAAGAACTAATTACCAGCAAATTTACAACCACTGGCACATACTTCATAATTCTGTTTTTACTTTTAAAACAAGCAAATAATGGGTGCAATAATAATATAAATTTAATATTTTTTAAAAATTGTTTTCTTTGTCAATTCTTGCAAAGTTTATAACTGGTCATTACTTTGGCATGTTAGTTCTTTCATACAAATGTAGTGAGCACCTGCTCTGGTTCCAGAGGAATTAATAAAGCAATATTCAAGACAAATAGATTTGGCCTTGACTGATCAGGTGTTCCATGAACAAGTGTTTCCCAGTAAGCACATTCAGCTTTAACATTCCAGTAAGTAACCAGAAGCCAATTTGGGGTAAGTACTTTAAAATTAAATAGCTTTTGAACGAAGTATGTATATATTACATGAAATGGATTTGATTCTGAATGTTTAGTAAAGTAGAAGAATGGCATTTCAATTTGCTTTGGTGCAGAAATCATTTGAATTTATTAAATTAATGTATTGCTTTTATTCTACTTAAAAGATTTTGCTATAAACTGGAAGATCAACTCTTATGGCAGAATTCAACAGGGAGTTTAGTTTTCAGTATGTTGTGCTTTTGATGAAATTTTAGCCAAAAGCCAATGAGATAAGTGAAATTTTCAAACCAATTATTTGTCAGACTTTAATTAAGTGCCTAGAAAATTTCTAGGAGAAATGGATGTAAAAAATATAAATTTTAATTATGAAAATTGTTAATATTGAGGATAACTCTAAAGTCAAGATTCTACTACAAGGGGAAAATTACATTCTTCAAAATATTTTTTATTATTTAGCATTAACGTAGTAGTGAATTTCCATTTAATAACTTAAACGTACTAATAATATTTTGACTATTTATGAAACTACAAAAATATTTTTATCAGAAATATTCTGAAAAGGGCCTGGGGTTGTGGCTAAGTGGTAGAGCACTTGCCTAGCACGTGTGAGGCACTGGTTTCGATCCTTAGCACCACATAAAAATAAATAAATAAAATAAAGGTATTGTGTCCATCTACAACTAAAAAAAAATTTAAACAATTCTGAACAATTGAATATCTCAGAACAAAATGATATATATACATTTATTTTTCTCATAAAAGTACAGGTTTTTATTATTATATTCTCACATACTAATGTGCTGATCTATTCAGTCCTTAATATTTGCTTGTTAATATATATTATCAATATTTTATTATATATTATCTACATTAAAATTTCTATATTTATAATTTACCAACACATATTGTCTAAAAATCATTTTGGATTACATTTTGAGCTTTTCTTTTCCCTTTGTAAAATGTATGTTTAAAAACAAAGTTTAACTAAATATATTTTTAAAAGCTTGAAATATCTAAATAATGAGTTCATAGTTTAGTCTTGAGGAATATTCCATTATTAATAATTTTTAACCTACTTATGGGTCATAATGGTCCACCTAATGATCTGCAAAACACTCCTGAAATGCATTTCTGCATTACTTTAGCTGTACCTCACACTGTTATGAAGTATGATCAGATAGTTGAATTTCCTATAATTTGACTAGAGGGCTCATTAATATGGTGTTTGTCTTGTGACTTGGTTATGATTTTCATTTGTTGCTACTCTCTTTTCTGGTAAGCATTTTTTCAAAAGACAAGTATCACATATATTCTCTCATATGTTAACTTAACAGGGAAAAAGATGACATGGAAGTAGAAGGGGTACTATTGGGGAAGTAGAAAGGGACTGAGGTAGAGGCAAGGGGATCAAAGCATATTGTATGCAGGTATGAAAATGCTAAAATTGAAGCCCATTATTTGGTGCAGTTAACAGATGTTAATAATTCTAATAAAATGATTCCTCCATCTTTTAAAATCACTACTTCCTTCATTATTTTATTTCTTTTATTCTCTCAATACTGAGGACTGAACCCAGGGTACTCTGTTCCTGAGCTACATGCCAGTCTTCCTTATTTTAATTTTGAGGCAGGGTCTCACCAAGTTGCCCAGGCTGTCCTTGAACTTGTGATCCTTCTGCATCGGGCTTCTGAATTGCTGGGATTACAGGTATGTACCACTGTGACCAGAAATTGTCATTTTTTTCTCTTTACAGTTTTTTTTTTCCATTTCTTTTTCCCTCCTTTGGAAAAGTATAAGACTATAAGGTGGTTTTGGTAGGTCTTAGACTATTTTACTCTCTAAAGTGAGACTGTGAAAAAGCTATTGGAAAGTTATCCAGATTACTCAAGTGATTTAGAATACATTAACTTCCTAATATTATAGGTGAAAAACAGACTGGAGTGTGCTTGTTTTTATTTCATTTTCATGCTTGATCTATTACAACTTTAGAGTAGGCTGTAAGACGTTTCTCTTCATATCAGAGTCACAGTTGCAACATAAAACCAAGAGAAAAGACAAGAAAGATACACCATACAGTTATTTAAAGATAGTATTGCCATTGATAATGCTCCATAATTATCATTTCTCCTTTGATTTTAGGAAACTGCAAATATATTTTATACTCGTTCTTGAAGGAACATAAAAAATACCAGTACCATATAAATTGTTTCTCCTATTTGATGATGTTTGCTCAGAGTCTTCTTGCGGTAGTATGTTGTAATGAGATAGAAAGTTCTAGTAGCGGGTAGAAAGTCTTTTGCTGGATGTAGTATACTATGGTAAAATCTTATTTTGAAAGCAAATAATATTTTAAATTACAATAAACAGAAGTCAAAATGGATAAAATCTTGTTGTGGAGTCTCCTGTTGATTTTTTCTGGAAGTCAAGCCTCAAGAACCTTGGCTCAAAAAAATACTGAATTTGCAGTGGATCTTTATCAAGCTATTTGCTTATCTCACAAGAGCAACATTGTATTTTCCCCGCTTGGAACAACTTTGGTTCTTGGAATGGTACAACTGGGAGCAAAAGGCAAAGCACTTCAGCAAATAAAACGAACTTTAAAGCTGCAGGAAACCCCAACTGGTGAGAATCATACACTTGATTATTTATAGTTGGCAAGATATGGTCAAGTTTATTTTGTAAGTATTAGAAGATCAGGTCATAGAACTTGAACAAGTCAAAAATATCAGAAAATACAAAATTTTAATAAAATAGAGAATTGTAAATGTAATTTTCATTCACCTATAACTGTTTCCCAATGAAAATGTTTAAAATAATTTATTAAGAAATTAACATTTATAGAGATCAATTTTTGTACGTGTTTGTGTTTTTTTCTGATGTGTTTGTTTTGGTCAGTTTAAGTTGAGCTTATGCTATGTGTGTATATGCACGTGTAATAATAGATATAATAATCACATTACTTCATCTCTTTTTGTTGTTGTTGCTGTCCTGGGGATTGAACCCAGGACCTTACACATTTTAAGCCAGTGTTCTACTACTGAGCTATATCCCTAACCCTTTTTTCCTTCAAAACTGCTAAAATAATTTTTCCATATCATGCTACTGAATCAAAATACAATTTTAAATTGTTGCACTTTATTTCCTCTTATGGACATTCCATTTACTCAAGCCTTCTTCAGTAGGTTGTTTCCCATACTTTCTTCTAAAAAATATACTTTCACCCATGGGGAAACCAAGAAAATCATTAATTTATGTATTTAAGAGCTTATTCAATAATTTTAGAAGAAAATTTGAAAAAGCATTTAAATAATCAGTCAGAGGTTTTTTTACTTCAAGTGGTGGTTGCTTGGAGTCCCACAAGGCTTATGCCGGAGACTATTTTCTTTTGACATCCTGTTTGAAACATCTCCCTGGCCATGCTCACAATTTCCATAGTGGTTTGCATTTTAAACATTGACATCACTATTAGATAATGTGGCCCCAACATTAGAGGAGACATCTGGATTTTTAATTTGGAAATTTAGTCACTATGACTAATTTCAGCCTTATCACAGAGTAGCTATATTTAGGAATTTATTTTTTCTGAAAATACTATTTACAAGGTTTTAATTGCTTCATTTCAAATAAAGCCAATTTTATACAGAAAAGAAGTTGGTGATAAGCTAATTGCAAGAGTTTTCCTTTGTGAATAATGTGTAATGAAGCCACTGTATTCCAGACTTAGTCTTGATTAATTTCAGCAAATCCCATTACACCATTCCCAGAAACATTTAAATCACATGATACTGCTTTGAAAAGTAATAAAATGTTTATGAAGATATGTAAAGTTGACTCCACGATAAGGTAGTAAGATTAGAGCCTCCAAAGTCTAAATTCATTTAATTGCAGGCATCTTAGTAACAGAAGTCTTAAGAGCTATGGCTCCGAACATAATAATCATCATAATAATCACGCACCATCAAACACACATATAGTGTATCAGCCACTGTTTTGTGTGCTTGGTATATAGTATCTCATTTGATATTTATAATTACTCTATATGGTAAATGCAACTTTGCCATACAGATGACAAAACTGAGGCCAAAAAAAAAGTTAACTAATTTGGCCAGGACTAATTCCAAAAATGATTCAGTGAGGCTTAGAGATAGTAAGTATAATTATGACATTTTAAACATTTTCTGTACAAGAATACATATGGACAATTAAACACTAACACTTTAATACTTTTGACAACATCTACCAGAACGGTTCATTGTGCCTTGTTAAATGATGGGCAGTGACACAGAGCAAGGGAAAAGTACCAGAGGTAAAGAAACCCAGTAAAAAGTGGAGAAAATGTGAAAAATAAAATTCAGAAAATAAAAAAAGAGGAAAATGAAGAAATAAGAGAAAGAGGGAAAGGAAATGGAATAGAGTGAGGGACTGACACGGAGTTAGAGAAAAGGCCCAAGCAATCCAAAAAAGAGCAGAAAGGCTTTAGGATGGAACAAAGGGCAAACAGATCCAAAGACAGTGCCTGACACAGCCATACTGAAACCAAGGGTGAAAATAAAAATCAGAAATGCCAATCCTTTTTTTATTGAAAGATTTTATATTTTGTTCATCAAAATTTTGCAGTAATTTTAATTTTGGCATTAATTTTGCATTGAGGCATATATCTTGATTATTGAGTTTTTGGCATCTCCTTAAATTTTATGCCTGAGACGAGCATCTCCTTGACTCACATTAGTCCTGGCCTTACCTTTAGTCCTCCTCTCGTTTAAAAAGTTACTCTCTCTTGAATCAGTCTTGATCTTGCTTTTCCTGACAATCTGTGGGGCCTGCCCTACCCTTCCATGTTGACACTTGCTTGTTCAACAGGGCATACAACTCAGGGGTCTATTGGGGCTCTTCATGTGCTCAGTTCTCCTTTCTCCCCCTGTCAAAACACCTGGTTAGAATTTATTTTGTCCATTTTGCTGAACATTTAATAATACTCCATTTTGTTTTGTTTCTGCTGACTGATCAGAGGCTGAATTGAAAGTGGTTCTTTATTCTAAGAGGGTTATGAAAAGAGAGCTTGGGCTAGGTATGTAGCTCAATGGTAGACAGTGAGGTCCTGGGTTCAGTCCCCAGCACTAAGGGAGAAAAAGAGAGAGAGAGAGAGAGAGAGAGAGAGAGAGAGAGAGAGAGACTGACTAAGCATGAATTGCATTCCTAGTTCTGCAATTAAGTGACCTTGTGATTTGGCATAAGTCATGTCACCTCTCAAGTTTCTTCCTCTTTCTGGAGCTGGTTTCTCACTGTAGAAAGGAGGGTCAGATTAAGTGATTTATATGGACCTTTCTGCTGAGATAATCTATACTTCTATGACTACTGCATTTTCATTTTTGGAGAATTGGTTATTGAATTCTTACTAGCAGAAGAGAACAGGTACTAAAATTTTAGAGCATTTTCTGGAGGTTTGGTACAATCACCCCCAGAGTCACATTCACCCCATGGTCTGTGGATTCTCTATAGCTCTATTTTAGGAAATGAAATCAACTTATTCTCATTGCTTATTAGGAGTCATGCATATGCATTCTTTTCGATCTGTGCTAAATGAGATCATTAATCTATAAATTAAATCAAACTTATAAAGCAGATAACTTTATATTCTCTTCCAAATTTGTGCTACTTGGTGACATTTTTTCATTGATTTCTGAGTCCAGTGATTTATCAAAGGGCAGCTGTTTGTCACACAGTCTTAGACCTTAAGTACATGACATAAATCTGTTTGCTCTGACAAATGAGTTAGAACTATTTTTTCTTCTCTTTCCTTTTTTGCGATTCCTTAAAGATGCTCATAAATTCCAAATTCCTGAAAATTAGTTTCAAATTCTGTCACTTCATTTCTGACCTGAAAATTGGTTTCAAATTCTGTTACTTCTCTACTGACCTTAATTAATTATTTTGGAGAAACTCTGGTATCTTAAGAAATCTCTGAAGCTTCCCAGCTGTTGAGATATTTTTTCAAGCTTCAAAGAGCAATGAATGATTGCATCTGGAATCATTGTATACACAAGTGAAATAGATTAACTGTCTTCCTTTCCTTATGTAAAGAATTCCAGGGTTGTAAAGAGTTACTGAAACTCAGATCTAGTCATACAGAAGCTAATTATTTTGTTTAGAATCTTTTATGTCTTTATGTCCTAGTGAGTGGAGGATTCTAGTTTGAAATATAATGCAATATACCTGGCAGAGGCTCCGGTAAGGGTGTTGTACTTGTGTCAGAACACCAAGCCAAGGAGGCAAATAGGAACTGGAATGTAACCAACACAGCTGGTCCAGGTGTAAGGCCACAGAGCTGCAGCTCCCCAGTGACAGGGATATTATTATTTGCAAAAATCTGCTAGCCTTCTGATAAAGTGTGTGTTTACACAAACACACACATATACACATCTCTTATTTTCATTATATACTTATTAGCATGTTTCTTGCAGTAAAACTTTTTAAACTATTTATTTGGCATCTTTTAATGATGAATACTTATTTTCTCCAATAGAAATGAATCGAATACAATCAACTTTAAGTTATGCAAGTATTATTTTCAATATTTAATTGGAAATCAAATGAAGACCCTCAAAGAACCTATTGTTTGAAAGAGTTCATGACTTATGATTGAGCTCTAGGATTAAGCCAGAAGGAAATAAAACGTATTTGTACCATTTGCTAATGAAAAAAAAAGCTATTGAAGAAAGTATCAGAAGAGATGCTTTTCATAGAAATCTACAGCTTACTGTATATATTGTGTTAATCAAAATTTTGACATCACTGTGGTCAGAGAATGTGTCAATAAATAGTAGATCCATGAAGATTCCTTTAATTGACTCATTTATCTAGTGGCCATTGTTAGAATAGTTAAAGATGTTTATTGTTCATGTAGACAGACAAAATATATAGATTCATGAACCTGAAGAAATAGGCAATTCTGATTCTCACCCATCTCTAGAGATGATCATAGTGTTCACCTTGCACATTTCAAATCCTGGACAGGCACAGTTACTCAAAAGAGAGTGATTCTTTCACTGAAATGAAAGTAATATTGAAAAGGATTGCTCATACTGCCATACCCCATCAACATCCATTAGCATTCCCCTTCCATAAGTATTGGGTATTCATCTTAAGGAATGATCAAGATTCTACATATGAATTTCCAACAACTAAAAATGAGCTAAATATCTTTATAAAGAGGGATTTTCCTTCAGCCTGTACAAATGCATAGTTTCATGTTTGTCAGATTTTGAATAGACATGGGTATTCTTTTTCCTATATAAAAGTTGATTTCACTAAAAATAATGCTTGAGATAAATGCTTGAAATATTTATACTAACTTCAGATCATTAGTTATACCTAAGGGTGCAAAAAATGGTGATATGAATCAAAACGCTTAGATAACAAAACTGGAATGCCGTTGTTTTATGTTGCTCGATATGTCAGTATACGTTATAATTATTTTTTAGGAGAAGAATTTTCTGTGTTGAAGTCATTTTTCTCTGCCATCTCAGAGAAAAAACAAGAATTTACATTTAATCTTGCCAATGCCCTCTACCTTCAAGAAGGATTCACTGTGAAGGAACAGTATCTCCATGGCAACAAGGAGTTTTTTCAGAGTGCTATAAAACTGGTGGATTTTCAGAATGCAAAGGCTTGTGCAGAGACAATAAGTACCTGGGTAGAAAGCAAAACAGATGGTAAAGTTTTCCATTTTCATAAAGCCATTATTTTGCCATTGTATTCATAGTTTTTAATATCTTAGAGTAAAAGATAATGAATGTATATTTAACTCTTCCACTTTTTTGGATCAGAAGGATCAGATCTCCTATTTCACTATTATTTAAATTAATATTAAATTTTAAAGCCAAGAGAAATTATAAGCTGCTTTGAAAAAAGATGCTAATTGTTTTATTATTTTTTGAAAGATACCTATTTACACAATTCTTAATTGAAGAATTTTAAAAATAATTAATTTTAAAAATAATGTCTAAGCATTGATTTTTCAAGTATTGAAGCAGGAAGATCTTTGGCCAGATAGAAGTTAAAGCTGTCAATCCCAAATGGATTTTTTCCCACATGTACTGTAAATAATTAACACAGTTTAGTTGATCGTGTTAATGTTTAATAATAAATGTTAATAGTTCTACTAAAAACATGTATTTAAATTAAAGATTAGACTACCATGTCCATGACTAGCAAAGCCTAAATAGCATGTAGTAAGTTTAAAGTCAGATAGATATGTGTTCAAAGGAACACAGGAATATTTTAGGAAGTTATAAACTATGCCCACTTTAAAATGAAGATACTATAAAACATTTCAGGATTATTGGAAGTTTTGATAATAATGTTTGTGAAGTAACAAGCACACACCAGGCCCTCAGTTAAAAGTAGTTTGTTTCTTTAATTATTCATTAAACTACAAAACTTGTGATAGTATTAGATGCTCTGTAATCTTTATAGGTAGCCTCATGGGGGGAATCATAGTTTAAAAATCTGAGTTGCGTGTGGTGAACAGTGTCCCACACGGATACAGATCAGGAAGTCTCTAGATGGCTTCATGACACCCAACAGTGGTTATTTATTATAACTTAGAAATACTTACTATATACAGAAATAAAAGACAGGTTGTTTAGAAAAATTATATTAGCATTCTCCACTCTTGTCTTGTTCCAATGGTACACACAAGTGTGGCAAGTTTGAGTGTACCATTAACCTATTAAATATGATCAACCTGCTGGAGAACCTTAAAATAAAATCTGAATAATAACCAATGAATATTAAGGAAGAAATATTTTGTTTTTGTTCTTTTTGTCTGAAAGACAAATGATAAAAATAATCTCACTGAAAAGAATCCATTTATGTCTAAGTTTGCCTAATACCAGCACATAGTTCCTATTTCCTAGTGGAATCCATTTGCATCTGTTTCTTAATGAAATAATTGATAGTATCTCTCATTATTCTCAAAATTACTAAGGTTAGATTGTAAGACAAGTGTCCAACATATCTCTGAATGAGACATTTTTGCTTTAATCCTCTTTAAAGCAGTTCCACTTAATCATTATTGAATATTTCTTCCTGCTTCTTTCTCTACCCCTTCATAGGAAAAATTAAAAACATGTTTTCAGGGGAAGAATTTGGCCCTCTGACTCGGCTTGTCTTGGTGAATGCTATCTATTTCAAAGGGGATTGGAAGCAGCAATTTAGAAAAGAAGACACGCAGCTGATGAATTTTACTAAGAAAGATGGTTCAGCCGTCAAAATTCCAATGATGAAGGCTCTTCTGAAAACAAAATATGGTAATAGGAGAAACCCTACTTCTTAAAGCTATGGCTTTGGTAATTGCCAAGTACATTTGATAATTTATTTCCTTGGTTCCAGGTTATTTTTCTGAATCCTCCATGAAATACCAGGTTTTGGAATTGCCTTATAAGGATGACCACTTTAGTTTAATCATCATACTTCCTGCAGAAGAGGTGAACATAGCAAAGGTAGAAAAATTAATTACCGCTCCTCAGATCCTGAAATGGTTCTCTGAGATGCAGGAAGAAGAAGTGGAAATAAGCCTCCCTAGGTTGGTCATGTCCTTTTATTATCCTAGTTCCTATGTTTTTGCTTATGGAGATATTTGAAGAGCCAGCTGAAAGATAGCAAATGCCTTAGAAGGCTATTGCCATAAATAAAAAGGAAAACGTATTTAAGAATGTTACTCCACAGAATGGATGCAAAGGCCAGTCTTTCCCCTGCCAATGTGGTTTTTATGTGAGAACTGAATTTCAGTGTTTTAATTCTCTCTGTAAAAGATGAAGCATTACCTGTAATTCCAGTGGCTCAGGAGGTGGAGGCAGGAGGATCATGAGTTCAAAGCCAGCCTCAGCAACTTAGCAAGGTGCTAAGAAACTCAGTAAGACCCTGTCTCTAAATAAAAATACAAAATAGGGCTGGGGATATGACTCAGTGGTCAAGTGCTCTTGAGTTCAAACCCCCATACCCCACAAAAAAAGATGAAGAATTACATTGTAAATTTAGAATTCAGTGATTAAAAAGAATTATTGTCTTTTTATTTTACAAATTTATCCTTCTCTAATATCTTTTTCATTAGAATTTAAAATACTTTTTGTTCAGGGAAAACAAATTCTGTAGTAATTTATGATAATTTATGTAGTAATTTATGATTCACCATTAAAAATGTGCTAAATCACCTTTGACAAAAGAGTGCTCCAATAGTTACTGAATTATAAATAGAATCTTACAGTCAATTTTGCATAGTTAATACAACATGGAAATTGCAAAGGATGGTCCTAGGAAGCAATGATTATAAACATTGATATCATACTTCTAAGGGACAGAACTGACTACAGAGTCAAAGATGTGCCCAAATAACCCCAATCCACACTCCATCTGAACTTGTAAGAGGAGAGATGTTTAACAGATTATATGCTCTTCTTTGATTTCTAAATTTCTCTGTAAGCTCCACAACTCTTAGATAGTTTCTGCATCTGTGTCAGTCATTCCCAGCCTCAAAACGGCTGGAACTCTGGACTCCTTGTTTATCTCTGGAGACTTCACTAATCCCACCCCACACCAGCACATTCTCTCTTCATCTGCTACTCTCGGTCAGTTTCTCTGACTCTCAGCATATGTCTCAACCTCATACTTTTTAAAGAAAATCTATCACCGAACAATTTATGTGAATCTTTATTAATCTTCTTTTTACCTACCTTCCTTGGTACTCTGGAGAAAGAAGTATCTGATGCTTTACTCTCCCTGTGGGCTCTTGATCATCCTTTTATTAATGATTCTTTTATTTTTATTTGTTGTGGTGCTGGGAACTGAAATCAGTGTCTTGCCTTACTCATGCTAGGCAAGCCCTCTATCGCTGAGCTACACCCACAACCTTATTAATCACCTTTTAAAAAAAATCTTTCTTCCTTTATTCCTTATACTACTAATCACTTTCTCTCTCTTCTGCTCCCTGACTTATTTTTTTCCTGTACTGTTCTCAAGTAAAAAATGTTTACCAGAGACTTATTTTCAGAATTTTCCTCTTCTTATTCCTCTGAGAAATATTATTTTCCCCTATAATTCATGTCTCTGGAAGTCTGAATCAGGAACTCCAACCTCTCTTCCAATTTCCTACCATCTGTAATCTCTACCTGAATGTTATCCAATCTTTTAAATAATATATATTATTTATATTTTAGCTCAAAGAATATATATTATTTATATTTTAGCTCCTATTTAGTTAACTGTATGCCAAACTGAGGATACAATGGCTTATTTAACAGATAGTTTCCCTTCTAATAATTGAAATAATAATTTTTGAAATTAAATTGTTTAACTCCAAAGTTACTTTTTCTTTTCCCTTCTTCTTTTTTCCCCCCTTCATTGGAAAGATCATTGTCTTGGAGTCAAAAAATACTGAATTTTAAAACTCTCTATACTATATAGTACTAGTGTGATCTTAGGAGAGTCACTGGATTATTCTGAGTTGCAGTTTTTATCAATATAAAATGTATATAATTATTCTTATAACCAAAGTATCCCCTATTTCTTGATTCTAAGTAACAAATTCTTTAATTATGCAAGAACCCCAAACTTAATTGACTATAGGAAATAGGATTTGAACACAGATCCACATAGAAGAAAGGTGATGTGTAGAGAAAGGGAGTTGATGACCATCTATAAGCCAGGAAAAAAGGCAGAAAATAAAACATTCCCTCACATCCTTCCAAAGAAACCAAAACTACTGACCTTGTTTTTGGACTTCAGTCCTCCATACCTATGAGATAAAACATTTAAGCAGCCAATTTGTGGTAATTCATTAGCAAACTAATACAAGTAAGAAAACATCAGCATTTAACCAAAGTTTATTGGAAGTGTGGTGATAAAGCTGGGTACGCACCATGACTATTCTCCTGGTGTAGACACTTCTTGTACCAAGTTCCCCGTCTTTTGATATCCACAGCATGCCATTGTCATGGCACCAGGGCCTTCCCTCACCCAAGAGTGCTCTTCATCATCTTCCTCCAAAATCTTCCTCCAGAATCTTCCTCTAGGACTCTACATCCAGAGTCCTCCAACTCTTCCCAGCACAGGAAGAAAAAAACCCAGATTTCCTTCCACCGGTCTAGGGTCAACTTCCCATGTGTGGAAGGAATCTATAGCAATAGATTTCAACACTCACTGAAAATGAAATCTTCATATTATACAGAATAGATTACACCCTCATAATCTCAGATATCTCTATCTCACTGATATTGTTTGCATAATGAAAAGCCAATGTATTGATTTCCCACACAAATAAACAATTTACATTAAAAGGTGAATTGAAATCCTCATTTATGTAGAAACAGAAACAGTAGTTGGCAGTAGTATACCACTTTTCCATATAAATTCCAGCCATCAAAGATTTTAAAAACATGGTGATGATTTCACTTACACTATCTCATCACATCTATTCATAGCATAAAGTTTGGCAAATGGAAGATACTAAATAAATGATTTTTTTTTTTCTGTTAAGATGACTGCCCAGCCAGTATCAAATGAGAAACATCATCTTCTCTGATTTCTCAGTCTTTTTCAACTTCCTTTTCTCTGTCACCACGGTTCTTCTGCATGGTGTCTGACCAGCGAATTTCCAATTATCCTTCAAGGTCCCCCTCTTGAATTACCTCTTCCATTAAGATTTCTCCAAACCATTACTTATCTTCATTTTCAGAACACTTCATGCAAACTTACATCAAAACACCTATCATATTACATTTTAATTTCTTGCTTACATTCTTGTCTACCCTGTTAAGATGTAAGTTCTTGAACAGAGGGCTACGTATATGTTGGTTTCTGTAGCTCCTAGCACATTTCACACTATATAGTATTTGTTAAATTAGTGCTATTGAGTTAAATTATATAAATATTTTCACAGGAAAAAGATTCTGTATTATGTCTCTTTATCTAATCTTAAATATCTCAAGCAGAATTCAACTTTTCAATCTTGTTTTAATAAATTTCTTATGAGGATCCTGGTGAAGTTGACCCTCCTTCCCATATGTTCAGCATAATGAAGAAAAGGAAATCAGCCATTTATTTGGAAACATCTTCTAGAGAAGAAAAAAAATTAGATTTTTTTTAAATTCAAAGGATTAAAAATTTGTCAATGATTTAATTGCATTAATACATTTAAAATTATTAATTTTACATTAAAAGAATGTTTTCTAATTTCTTAAAAGAATGATTTTCTCACATGTTAAATTCATTAACAATTTTAGTCCATCAGAACATATTTGTTGGATTGTTTCCTGAACATAAAAATCAGGGATTGAAAAGTAAAAAATATATATTTTCCCAAAATGAACAATTTCTTCACAAATTGAAAAATTCCCATTTTAAAACATGTATTCAGCACAGAAAAAAATTAGAAGGGCTCAATAAATATTTTGTGTGGACTGACAAATTTATATTTTATCACTCAGTGCTGTGGTTCTTTTATACCTGAATGAATACATACTGGTTATCAAATAGATGAGTGAAGATTTTGGTAATGTGGGAACAGTTTAAGTGACTGTTTTAGTTTCCTAGAACTACTATAACAAAATGACAAAAGAGTCTAGGTGACTTAATCCAATAGTAATTCATTCTCTCTCAGTTCTGGTTTAAAAGTCCAAAGCCAAGGTGTCACAAGCTCACTGTCTCTCTGATACTGCATTGAACACTTCCCTGCCCCTTTCTAGTTTCTGGTAGCAGCCAGCAATCCCTTGGTGTTCCTCTGTTCACAGATGTACCACCCCAGTCTTTGCCTCTGTTGTGAGGTAGCCATCTATTCTCACATGACATTCTCAGATTTCTGTCTCTCTCTTTGGTACCGGGGATTGAGCCCAGGGGCACTTAGACACAGTGCTACATCTTCAGCCCTTTTAACTTTATTTTTAAAATTTTGAGACAGGCCTTTGCTAAGTTACTTAGGGCCTAGCTAAGTTGCTGAGGCTGTCTTTGAACTTGTGATCCTCCTGCCTCAGCCTTCTGAGCCACTGGGATTATAGGCGTTTGCCACTGTTCCCATCAAATTTTTTAAGGACACCTGTCATAAAGGATTAAGGACCCAACCTACGCCAGTATGACTTCAACCTAATTAATTATTTCAATAAGGAATCTATTTCCAAATAAAGTCATAATTACAGCTGGGGTTTAGAACTTCAGTGCATGGATTTGGGGAAAATGTGTGTGTCGGGGGGCAGGGGACACAATTCAACCCATTACACCAGCTGTACTAAATTTTATGTTGTAAAACAAAATGCCTTTTTCAAGAAAAAATTTCATAAACACCAAAGACGGAAATATTAATTGTGCACCTATATCAAAGCTACAGCAGGAAGGAACATGTGACTCTTTAGATGATAGTCACTGAGAAACACTCCCCCTTCCCCTCTTTGATATATAACTAGATAGAATTGAGGCCAATAAGACAGACTATAGTCTAAAAATACTAGGGTGCTAACTGGTTTTTATTGTCTCTAGCAGTCTAGAAATCTAATTTTAAAATTGTCCCCCAGTTGGATGTTAGCTAAAATAATTCTA